GTTAATTTAAAAAGGTCAGCATAAAAATGTTGGTGAATTCATAAGAATGTTTGTGAAAATGATTTGTACAACTTTGAAACCACCAGAAAATCCTATATTTTCTTAAAACAGCTTGGTGTGTTTGTATCTGATCTTGTATAAATGCATGCGTGTTAATGATTATTATAATGTATAAGAATAATGTTGAAATCGTAAGGAGAGTGTAAAGAGAATGCCACAGACAACCCAATATTGTCTGTAAAAGAGAATGTTGTCATACCAACCCCCAAGGTTGAGTACCAGTACGAGTATGTTCCTGAGTAATCCAAAGAGAAAAGAGAATGGTCTCCCGTAAATTTATAACATTAATTCCTCTAAGTGAGCCTTTACAACCATACTTGATAATGACAATTTCGCTTGTCTTGACGTTTGGAAGACACCGACTTGTTTAAGGTACGGTTTGTCACCCTAGACTGGACTAGTCTATCTGTAGCGAACAGCTCAGGTGTGGGGCGTCACCCCCGTATAGATCTATACACAAACTCACACTCTCCATCCAAGAGACTCTGGTTATAACTACAGGCTACGATCGTACACTCAATAGATGTCAATCGAAAAAACTCACTAGATCCTTAATCGAATTTATGCGAAGAGAAACATATAACACTCATTCTTAGCCCAATGAACCATGTAAGTGAAACACCAAGGCATCGCTAAGCATGTAAGTCATTTCAAGGCCCAATAGGAATGAGATTATATAACATGGGCCTGAAATATATATAAAAAGACAACTAAGGCTCATTTCACATGTAAGGTATTTATAGGCCCGAATAGCACGCAAATAGTATCCAAGGTCCGTCGCGCATGTTAATGGGTCAATGAGGCCCAATAAACATATAAATAGTATTCAGGACCTATCAAACATATTAATGGGTCACCAAGGTCCAACAAACATAAAAATGACCTAATTAGCTCATTTGTTATGATATTGTTAGTTTTAGCTCGATCATATAATAAAATGATATAAAAGGCCCACTTTTTGTAAAAATGACACTCTTGACCCATTAAGACAAAAATATACACTTAAAGCCCAATTTTAGTAAAAGTAACATTTTAGGGCCTTTTAAAGGCCAAGTCTTGCATCCAACACAAGTTTAAATATTTTTAATAACTTAAAACAATTTTTCTGATTTTTGACTTTTCTAACCCAGTTGTTGGAAAATTTGTAGAAAAATCATCGTAAGTCGAAATTTGGATCTGTAACTCTAGTTGTTTGAAACTTTTGTCTACTTTGTTCACAATTTTTCTCAAAATTTTTAGTGGCCTCAAACAAGTGTGAAATTGCTCACTTTCAAAGACTGGTCCGACATTATTACAAATATGATAGGCAGTTTTGTAAAATTCACCAACAATTGTAGAAAAATCGTATGAAAACGTGAGAGTAATAATTTTAAAGGTATAAACCTGAAATTTTTGCATGTAAAACAGTTTTGAAAAATATTATCATTAAGATGATCAAAACAGTCCAATATTAAACTAAAACGTTTCTGGCAAAAGCTGATTTTTGAGTTTAAGTTATCCATGTTTGTACACACACTTGTTTTTGCTATTTTAAGTGTATAAATCCCAGAACTACAAGTTTACATGTATTATATGTGATAACACATACTTTTATCAAGGTTTTTATGAAGATCCAAGTGATAAACTTCATGTTCTTAACATATTTTTAGATTAATGAAGTAAGCAACACATAATTACCAAATAATTCATGAAAACACACACATAGTCATGCATATACACATAGATCTACACAAAACAACTTGTATTCTCCCCCAAAAAACAAGTAAAAATCGAAAACAATAGGTTATGAACTCACTTTGGGTTGTTGCCTTCGATTTTGAAGAAGATATGGAAGGAGATGAGGTTGTTTTCGGCTTTGAATGCTTCCTTAGAAGAAGTTTCGAAGCTTTGATGGTCCAAGTAGATGATAATTGTTGATGAACACTTGGGATCACAGACCAAGGTCAGGAAAATGTCAAAGGAATGTGAGATTTTTCTTTAAGCTTGAGAGGAATTATGAGTGAGTTTGAAAGTGAAATGTTTGTGTGATGGTAAAGCTCTCAGCCAAAGATAAGGAGGAAGGAGGAAAGAGGTTAGTGGTTAATACACCATGGCTAATATTTTGCTTAGATGTATGATATGCAAATTAGCTTAGTTATCCTATAAATAACAATGATTTGTCAACCTTTAGTTTCATGCAAATTTTTATTTTTATTTATTATTTTTTTATTTGAAGTTTGGGCTGAGAATTTGGCTAGGAGAAAAGGGATTGAAGAAATTTGAGCCTTCTTTTGCCTTGTTCGAATTTATGAAGCCCAAAAATAATTTTCGGCCCATTAAGCCCTTAGGAGGGTTCACGGCCCAATTAAGTCCACTTTAAAGGGTTTAAGGCCCATTAGGGCTATTGGAATTGTTATGGCCCAACTTGGCCCACTAGGAATAAAATGAACCATTTTAGGCCCACATGGCCCAAAAAATGTTAAGCTTTATGAGTGTGGGTCCATTTAGAGCCCAATTAGGGTTCCTAGGCCCAAGATAGTCAAGTTAAAGGTTTATTGGTCCATTAGGCCCAATAAGAGAATCCTGGCTCATATAAATCTTAAACCGAGATTTTCAGGGTTTTCAACTCATGATTGCCTATTTGAAATGCTTTGTATAGAGTTTTGAACATCACTTATGACCCTTGATTAAGTTTGTTGTCATTGAATAAGCATAGTGCATAGTATCAAATTAGAGTTACATGTATCATAATATATAATGTTTACATGAGCATAGAATTTCCTATCTAGAATGCTAGTTGTGACACCATTTTAGAAAATTAGGTCACTAGTGGGCTTGGAAAGGCTATCTAGAATTGGGCCTTTCATGTTATGGATTTGGGGCCTAGGTCATGGACTGGATTAGATCAGGGGTAAAAAGGTCATTTTACCCTAAGAAGGATTATTGAGTTTTGACTAAGTGTTATGTTGTGCTGATAGCTCGAGGAGTCGTCAGAGCAACTGCTAGAGATTTCTTACCATGAGATTCTACATTCAGCTTTGCAAGGTGAGTTTTCCTCCTGTGTGAACAGGTCGAATGCACCAATGTCGGGTCGTATATTATGTTAGTATGTTCCGGACTAAGGTCCAATGTCGGGGGGTGCCCAATGTAGGTTTATATGTTTTCCAGATTTCGATTGGATGTTGGGCGGTACTCGAGGAATGTTTTTATGCTTGATGTTTTCGTGATTCTTGCATGTGTCTGTATTGTATGCTTCCGGATTACGGTTTGATGTTGGGCAATGCCCGAGGAATGTTTGTATGTTTTCAGATTACGGTCCGATGTCGGGCAATGCCCGAGGAATGTTCATATGCTTTTGGATTTCGGTCTGATGTTGGGCGGGCCCGAGGAATGTTTATTTGTTTTTGTTATGTGATTATTTATGTTTATTTGTTGATATGTTTATATGTATATCGAGCTTTTCTCAATGCCAGGCGGGGCCCGATGTCGTACATTGTCCGATGTCGGGTGGGGTCTGATGCTGGACATTGTCTGATGTCGGAAGGGGATCGATGAATGGGCGGGGCCTACTATTTGTTTATATGTGATTATGTGTATGGTATGTAGTAGTTTGGGGAGACCCACTAAGCTTCATGCTTACAGTTTTCAGTTTTGGTTTCAGGTACTTCCGGTAGCAAAGGTGAGAGTTCAAGATGACTGTATTGCACACACCATGATGCTTTAGCATGGGATGTTTACTCTGATATTTGACAGATGTTTCAATTAATATGTCGTTCATGATGTTTCGAGATACTATGACTAATGTTTTGATGATATGATTTTGATAACTATGTTTTTATTTTTTAGTCATGATTTTTGGGGATGTTTCACTCGATGATGCACTTATTCAAATATTAGGTGCGGATCAAAACAATAATAAATAAAAAATTGACAACCATATACACCAAAATCATTATCCAAATTTGTACAACAATTCTTTTTTTTTGGACCAAAACATAATCTTTTGACAAACATTTCTATAATTTTCTTAGATTGTTGGTATGACATCCTGGTACCAAGTTGCTACATCAACATCGAGCTCTCAACGCTGTTGTAGGGATGGTGTTCAAGCCTACCTTCAATACAATGTGGTGAGGCAAGAAAAACAAAGAAAAAAAAGAAAAAGGACGAAAAAAATGACAATAAGACACTTTGAGCAGACAACCGGGGATAACACAACGGGAAGAAGGGTGGTGTTTGTTGGTCTTAGCCCCATTGAGGCCATGCAACATCAGCTCTCTAGGGTTTTTTTGTTTTTTTACCTATATCTACCCGTCATAGGAAATAAATAAATAAATACATAAATAATCTTTCCTAATAAATAAAAATTATTTTGCCTCTTTTCGATTTCTTATGGGTTTTGACACTTGTTATTTTATAATATTTTTGAAATAAATATTATCTACTTGTCAATTTCTGACTTGTTTTCATTTTTAAAATTAAAATGATATACTTGCATATATATATATATATATATATATATATATATATATATATATATATATATATACACATATATATGATATTACCTTGCAATAAATAATTTCCTTTTTTATTTTAAAGTTTTACATGAAAAATATGGGAAAATGACTTAAAAAGGTAACTATGTTTCAATTTTGTACAAAAAACACCATTTAAGTATACCCTGTTCAAAAAATACCATCTAATTAAAGAATTTGTTCAAAAAATACCATCTAAAATCACATTTTGATCTTTGATTCTATCGTGGTAACCGGTTCTGCCGGTGAGGAGGTAAATGTTACCGGGAAGAAAAAAGTAAACAATTACGTGGCTTCTCCATATATTACATGGAATAACCCTTTCGCAAAAATCGAAATCACATAGAACACGTTGGAGGTTTTTTCACAGACGGTGAAATTAGGGTTGCTTTTCACACCGATTTTTCACTCAAGGTGCAAGGTATGCTTACTATCGATGTTTACCATGGTGGAAACTTTGACCGTAAGCCATTAGTGTACTTTAATCCTTTGAAAAAATCTGTTACGGGAGTTGATTTCAAAAACATGGGGTTTAAAGAGTTCATCTTACAGCTTCGAAAATTAACCAAGGAAAGGTGCATTGATGTATATTATTGTCTTCAAAATCGGTTTGTGGTAGATGGATTGAGAGAACTAAGAGATGATAATGACTATGTAAGGTTTCTTGATGCTAGGTATGCCAATGATTGTAAAATCAATGTATACATTGATGAATATCAAGAGCCAGTCATGGAGTGGATTGACGAAGAAAAAGATGAAGAAGGGGACACAGAAAGTGATGAATATGAGGATGATGTAGACTCAGTCATGTCAGATGATATATCAATGGACCATGAACTTGATGATGAAGTTATTCCATTAAAGAAATCTACATATCCATTTCTGGCCCATACAAATGTTATTCCAAAGGGAGGGGTTAATGATGAAGATAGTGGCAGCACAGATGAAGTTTACTTTCCTGTTCATGATCCTAACCAACAATGGGACACAATGAAACCTGTCTTAGGTATGAAATTTTGTGATCGTTATGAAGTTAAGCAAATGATTACCAATTATGCTGTTTCTAATGGTTACAATTTGTGGTATGAAAAAAATGATGCAAGTAGATTATTAGTTAGGTGCAGTAAAGCTGAAGGAAAGGCATGTTGCCCTTTTAGATTGTAGGCTACTTGGATAAGCCAAGAAAATTCATTCCAAATCAAGTCACTGATTGATGAACATAATTGTTGTAGAGCTATAAATCTGGGGTCAATTTTCACATTGAGGTGGATTGGAAAAATGTTAATTCGGAATATATTGGAACAACCCAGGCTTAGTTACAGGAAAATGAAAGTGTTGGTGAAGACTAATTTTGGTCTTAATGTGAGTGTCGGGCAATGTAGAAATGCTAGAAGGTTTGCATTGGATGAAATTGAGGGAAGTTTGGTGGGACACTATGAAAAGCTATGGAACTATGGTGCTGAGTTGTTGAGGGCTAATCCGGGTTCAATAGTCCAAATAGATGTGGATACTATGCCTGATTCTACAGTGTACTTTTCGAAGATGTATGTTTGCTTGAAGGGTGTCAAAGATGGCTGGATTGAAGGGTGTAGGAGGGTGATTGGTATTGACGGATATTTTCTGAAGGGTATTTGTAGAGGTGAGGTATTAGCAGTTGTTGGTAGGGACTCCAACAATCAAATATGTCCCCTGGCATGGGCTGTAGTTGCAGTTGAAAACAAGCAAACTTGGAAGTGGTTCTTAGATCTACTACCGGATGACTTTGAGATGGGAGATGGGACAAGGTTAACAATCATTTCTTACCAGCATAAGGGTCCAGTTGAGGCTGTAAAGGAGAGAGCACCAGAAAGTGAGCATAGGCAATGTGCTAGGCACATCTATGCCACCTTTAAGAAAAAGTTTACGGGTGTTGAGTTTAAGAGGCTTTTTTGGATTGCAGCGAAGTCTACAACACAAAAAACATTTGAAGCTACAATGAGGGAAATTAGGCAACTTAGCATAAATGCTTATGACCACTTGATGGAAAAAGATCCAAGCACATGGTGTAGGACATTTTTTGGAAGATAGGTGTTGTGATGTCGTAGAGAATGGCATATCAGAATCCTTCAATTTTGCAATTGTAGAGGCAAGGAAAAAACCGGTAGTAACTATGCTTGAAGAAATTAGAGTCTATGTCATGGAGAGAATGTTCAATCAAAAGAAGAAGGGAGAAAAATGGAACTTGCCAATCTGTCCCTCCATCAGAAGGAGGATTGAGAATTTGATTAAAGCACAAAGGTTTGTTACTTACTTCAAAAGCTAATTTACTTAAGGTAAAATAATTAATTTTCTATAACATTTCATCACAGGTATTGGGAAGTTACTCCAAGTGGACCACAACAATATGAGGTCAGATTATTGCATGAAGGATATGGAGTTGACTTGAACAACAGAACTTGTGCATGCAGATCCTGGCAGATTAGTGGGATACCGTGTTTACATGTCATTGCAGCAATATTGTTTATGAATGGGAATGTAGAGGACTATGTTTCAGTTTGGTTCACAATAGACATGTTTGGAAGTTGCTATAGATATACAATAAAGCCAATTAAGGGAGTTGATTTATGGCCAACTGTAGTTGCCAATACCATCTTGCCACCAAGACGTAGAAGGCTGCCTGGGAGACCAAAGGTGAACAAGAAGAAATGTCCTACGGAAAAAGAAGGAAGGCATACTGTTAATAAGAAGGGAGGGATTCCAAAATGTGGTCACTGTAAGCAAGAAGGTCACAATAAAAGAACATGTCCATTATTGAACCAAGGTTGGCTTCTTAATTACAATACACATAACAATTTTCTCTTGATTACAATACACAAACATTTTCTCTTGATGCAGTTACAAATGAAGTACCTGAAGACATGTTTGTGGCAGATGAAGTAGAATACCATGAGGAGGAGTATGTAGCAGATGACGTAGATGTAATGCCCGGTTCCTAAGAGTACTTAATTGTGAGTCCCCGGGATTTAAGAGGAAAGGTATTTTGGTCATCTTGTGGGAAAAGTGGAAAAAGAGGGCCAAATATGAAATTTGGGGACAGGTCGAGTACGCCTAGCGTAAGCTGGGATTACGCCCAGCGTAAGGGCGTAAGTGGATGCGGGTGCAAGGTTGAGTACGCCCAACGTACTAGAGGTACTCCCAACGTATTCTCAGAGTTCTAAAACCCTAAAATCAGGGTCAGCCACTATATAAGGAACATGTTGGTTCATACCCTAGCCTCCATAAGCTCTCTCTTAACCTCAGAAACCCTAGATAGCCGTTCCACCTCCATTGTTGGGTGCGTTTGGCCTTGAAAAGCTTATTTTGGAAAAGGAGAGGCTAGAAGAAAGTGGAAGTTGTCAAAGAAGAGTGGAGTGGCTGGAGCTTGTAGATCTGGAAAGATATCATCCTTTGGAGCCTATAGGAGCTATAAAGCTTCTTGCTTGTCATTCATATTGCATAGATATAAGTGTTGTGAAGTTTTGACATCATTCCTGTCCCAAAAGTCCTCATCTTGATGCATGCTTTGAGTTGGCCGAGATTATCAGTCCTTTCAGACCTTTGGAGAGGTCTTGAGTGAGAAAAATGAGGTCCCAAGGGTTGTGGTTGTTCCATGTGTGAGATAAGTAGGTCTTAATGGATTAAGACCTTGGATTAAGAGCTTTATGGACGTCCCAAGTGATAAAGTTTGAGACTTCATGAATCTTAGGCATATTTGGCCTAAGGATCTAAAGTTTGGGCTTAAGAGCTTAAGCCATTAAGAAGTTATGAGGACTTAATGAGCAGCAAAGTTACGCCCCGCGTAACTTAAGAGTACGCCCCGCGTAGCGGGTCAGTGCCCCGATCCCCTTTGCGAATCAATGTTGTACGCCCAGCGTACCAGAGAGGGTAAGCCCAGCGTACTCCCCCTGTTGGATTTTCATTTTGGGCTGTTATTGGGCTGTTGGATTTATGGGCCATGACTGGACAATTTGGATATAGTACTTTGGGCCCAATTAATTATTATGGGCCATGGGTCTAGGCCTATTTGGTGTGGTGGGCCTAATTTAGTAAATTGGGCCAATAGTGGGCTTTGCTTCGGACTTTTGGACTTTGGGCCATTAGTGGGCTTGAGAGCTTATCCAGTGTTGGGCCGAAATAAGTTAAGGGTAAATTGGTCAATTTACCCTTGGAAGGGTATTATGCTTAGCCTAATGATTATTTGTGCTATGATGGCTAGTTTGGGAATTTTCCGGTAAGTCGGTGATTCGGGAATCTGCTTCTTTAATTCAGAGTTTCGGCAATCGCGAGGTGAGTTATCCTCACTATATCAACAAGGTCTAAGGCACCAAGGCCGGCCCTTTATCGGATTGTAATCCGGATATCATTGTTATGTTGTTGCCTTGTTATGTTTGCATCTGGGTATTAGGATGGTATATGCTAGTGACCTGTTAGGTCGGTATCCTATTTTGAGTATGTTATGATACATGGTCTGCTAGATCGGTTTGATTGAATGTGAATTGTTATATGATTATGTGCACATGGATGTTTGACTGGGGTTGGGTTGAGGCAGGACCTGCTTTGTGCTGTAGGCCAACATACCCAGGGCGGACCGGTTATTCCGAAGGCCCAGCGAGCGGTTCGGATAGGTTGTAGGCCCCACGAGGGCGGACCAGACGTGCCGAGGCTCGAAGAGTGGACCAGGACGACTGAAGGCCCAATGCGGGCGGACCAGTCATACTGCAGACTCAGAGAGTGGACCAGGTGGGTTGAAGGCCCGGTGCGGGCGGACCAACAACACTGCAGACTCAAGGGACATGACTAGACTCGGAGGGTGGACCCGGTGGACTGAAGGCCCGATTCGGCGGACCAGTCACACAGTAGACCTGATAAGCATGACTGTTTTGTGATTTGTTATGATATAGCATGATATGTGTGTTTGGTATATGTGGTTGGTATTTTGGGGGTATCTCACTAAGCTTTCGGGCTTACAGTTGTGGTTTAATGTTTTTTTTTCAGGTTCTTCAGGAGACCGTGGCAAGGCAAAGGCGTGATCGTACCGCTCCTCGTGTTTATGTTTTATGTTATGGTTCTGGGAATACTCTGATAATAATTGTATTGAAAACCTTTTTGTAAAACTTAAAGTAATTGGGATGTTTTTGAAGAGTTAAATTTGTTGAAAATTTTTGGTCGTTACAGTAGAGGACCAGGAGGAAGAGTATATGGCAGATGAAGTTAAAGACCATGAGGAGGGTTATGTCGCAGATGAACCTGTTGTTGATGTGGGGGGAGCAGGGAAAACATTAGCAGTGTGACTAAGAGAAAAGGACCTTCTGAGAGAATCATAATGATGAAGCTGAAGAGAAGGGTGGGCGGTATTGGGGATAATATAGGAAACCCAGTTAATTTAAGTTAGGTCATGTGTTTGTTTATGCCTGAACTATGAAAGGCATCTTTTGGTGCATAGTGCACATAAAACTTATGTTTGTTTATGCCTAAAACAATAAAAGGCACATCTTTTGGTGCATAATGCACATAAAACTTATGTTTGTTTATGCCTAAAACTTTTAAAGGCACATCTTTTGGTGCATACTGCACATAAAACTATTGTTTAATGTTTGTTTAATGTTAGTTTGCTCAATTACCTTTAGCTTGTAAATTTTTTTTAATTAGATGTGGATGTATCAACTATTGGAAGGGGTAAAATCATCCAACTTGTACCAGTTGTATGCTGATGTAATCATGTGTTTCTGCATCTCATTGATGTCATAATAATACAACATATACTAGTCGGAAATGACAGGTTACAAAACAGAATGATAAAATTAACAATTATGCCCTTTTGTTTCCTTTTGTTAAATTATGTGTCTTGCTCCTTCAATATAAGGGACTATCCCTGTATAGAAGATGGCTCATTCATTTGTTCCCCTTTTTGGATAAAGTTATAGTTTTTCTTCATATGTTGACCAATGTACCCCTATTTACCATGACTTATTTTTTGTCCCATTTGTCAAGTTCATATGTAGCCTCATCTGTTGACCAATATACCCCTATTTAGTTTAATACCTTCACTGTTATATCAACACCTTCACTGTTATACCAATATCATTTTTTTTTATCAAAAAAACCTTCACTGAAACCAATACCATTTATTCACTGTTATACATCACCTTTATAGTTACAATTACATTACCATTATAGTTAAAATGTGTATCAATTCAAAAAACACAAAACAAAGAAAATAGAATAAACATTAAAGGGCAGCAAAAGCACCCTTGATTACATTACCATTAAAGCTACAAAAGCATCCCTTTACAAAACACATTGGAATCAGGCATTCCATTCACTTTCCCTATACTACATCATGAATTTCACTACAAGCAGAACAAAAAGCATCCACAAACAGCATTTTTGAATCTCTAATGTCCTGCTCATTTCATCGAGTTTCTTTCTAAAACTCGTACCATCCTCATTTGTCTTCATCTTGTAAGATTTCAAATCATTTTCCAATATTGAAATCTTGACTTCCATTAAGTTTGTTTCTAGTTCTTCTTCATCATCATCGACCCATTTCCAGAACTTACAACTTTCCTTATTTCGATCCTTCATATTCAGGAAAATAAGTCACATAACCAAGAAATTATTTAGGAGATGGAAATAAAAATCTAGCTTTAAGCTAAACTTACCAAGGAGTATGGACAAACCATAATCTTTTTTCCAGGATTAGCTTTGGTGTTGATGTCCAAATTCGAGCAATGTACCCACAATCACAATGTTTTCTACCAAAATTAGATTTTGAAATGTTGGTTCTTAACTTGGATATGATGGATTAGAGGAAGAAGAAGACGCCATAGAAGAAGAAGGGGGAAGTCGTTACAGAGGAGTAGAGATGTTTACCCTAATTTATTTCAACGATGGGTTATAAATGGGGGATGTATCCTACCTGTAAACTCCATGCCAACTAGATAATCCACACATTAAGAAAAAGTTGTCAAGTCAGCCATTCACATCTCCATCCGGTTACCATACTGAATCAAAGAGCAAAATGTGATTTTAGATGGTATTTTTTGAAC